ATTTATATCGATGCGTAGTTGTGCGCAGTGTTATTACAATAAAAAGTTATAAAAGTAGATTAAAAGTTGATTGCCACAGAACAGAAATCATAGTAGTTTGTGCCCTATCGTTATAGAGTACATTAATCCTGATGCAATTGCAGATTAGTTACGGTCGATGCACTTTACGCGATTTAACCATTCGAGCAAATTTTCATGTTGGTTTACTATCTTGAAAATGCTAAATTGCACGGTTTCTTCTTCTTCACATATATTCTACATATGTTACATATGAACAGTGCTCTTAAAAAATAAAATTCTATAAACAATTTTAATTGAATTCTAATTATACTTTATACTTATCTCTAACTTATTTTTTTATTTATACATGCACGCATCTCTCTCTCTTTCTCTCTCTTTCTCTTGGCTCATAATAAAATATTTACCATTAGTAAATTAGTAAATTTTTAATTATACAATCTGTTTTTTAATTTTTTATTTAATATTTGTTGTGCTCAACGAGAACTTGCCGCTTGTGGCACAGTTATGGCATACTTTTCACGCGTTATTCATATGCAATATAATCACTTACATTTTTCGGAATTTGTTGCGTAAATATCTAGAAATTAATTACATAATTATCATGGAACACAAGAGTTTAGTCCATAAAATTTTGATGTGTCAAGTTTGCGTATGAGCCTTTTTTTCATTAACAGAATTCTTCAACCATGTTACAACAAAGTTTCGATATTGCAGAAACATTGCTATAAAATTCTAACTAAATCGGAACTAAACGGAAATCTTTGAGGAGAGGAAATCTCGATCATTTGGTCAGTGCTGAATTTTTATGAGGCATTTTTACAATGCCTTAGGCAAAATGCTGAAAAAATGTAATAGTGCATCGTGTGAAGTAATGTTATTTTTTCAAGCAAGATGGAATTGCTGAGAAAATAATTAAACTTAAACTTCAAGCTGATTTTTCTCAAAACTATATAAAGTTATTCATTAAAGCTGTTATTTTACTCAATTAGCCATATAATTTTATAGTACGAATTACGCAATCAATTGATATGTTAAGAAGCAGCGGCAGTGACGTTATCTCTCTTAAAACGAGACGTCCACATCCACCTTGCTTTTACCATATCGGCGCCTTTTTCGGCCACCATTATCACAGGAGCGTTTATGTTACCACTTGTAATTGTCGGCATGATCGATGCGTCGATTACCCGCAGGTTCTCAATGCCATAAACTTTTAACTCCGAGTCTACGACCGCCATTGGATCACCGAACGGTCCCATCTTGGCGGTAGCACACATATGATAGATCGTCATAGTGTACTGTCTTACAACGCAGTTCCAATAGACGTCAGTGTACAGTGGAATATGCTTGCAATTGGGTAATGGTTTGTTATGGAATCTCGAGCCGAATCTCTTCATACTGCTGGTTTCGCTGAAGGCGATGGCCGCCTTGACACCCTCACGAAGCACTGCCACATCTTCCGGATGAGTGAGATAATTATGATACAGCAGTGGGTAATCCAAGGGGTTCTTGGATTTCAGTTTGATATAGCCGCGCGACTTGGGTCTGAGTATCATTGGAAACACTCCGAAGACATCGTGATTGTTAATCTTACCGAACACTTCATTGTAAAATTCATCGGTTAGACCGTGAGCGTTCTTTATATGGCTACCACCATCCGAGTTAGTTCCCGAGGACGTTAGCATGAACTCGATGTCGGGCCAATCGTCGGTTTGATTTGCATACTTGGTGGAAATAAAACCGACCGCTTCAAGACCGATACTAGATGTCAGCGGACCGTCTTCGGTGATAGCATATCTCAATGCTGAGTTGATGTTGACCATTCGATTCATTACGATACTGATTTCGTAATCGATCGGAAAGACAAGCCCTCCGACTGCTATGTGGTCTTGTAAATTTTGACCGACTCCGGGCGAATCTTGAATCACGGGGATACCCAACTGCTCCAGATGAACGCGTGGTCCCACTCCCGAAAGCATCAATAATTGCGGGCTGTTGATAGCTCCAGCTGAAAGGATCACTTCCTTTTTGGCAAAGACAATTTCCTTACGACCGTCTCTGATAAACTCCACCCCGTACGCCCTCCTGCTCTTCGGGTCTATCAACACTCGAGTCACATGACTCCATAGAGATAAATGAAAATTTTTTCTCAATTGAATGGGTCGCACAAAAGCTTTAGCGGTGCTGCATCTAGCACCCCGTCGCATTGTGTACTGAAAAAAGGCAAAACCGGTTTGCTGCTCGCCGTTGACGTCGAGAATGTCATAACCCATTTCTTCAGCGGATTGAAGAAACGCTACGCCCAACGGAGTGACATAAGGGCTGTCCTGCACGGTGAGATATCCTCCTAAAAATTTTCAAATGAGAGTACAGAAAATATTTAACATATTTACCAGTCGCTCGCTCAATTTATACACATACACACGACGCGCTCTTGTTCCAATTGGTATCGAGTGCTAATTGGAGAATATAGTTTTTACTCGTAATATTTATATTAAATGAGAACACGCACGCACGAACCTGTGCTATGATATCTTGTATTGCGCGCTAAATACGGATTTCTTTGGTCCATTGATTTCTTAAAATATGGTAGAACATCTTCGTATCCCCAACCAGGATTTCCGAAACTCTCCCATTGATCGAAATCACGTCGATTTCCACGAATATAAAGCATTGTGTTTAAAACACTGGATCCTCCAAGAACCTGACATGTAATTTAATTGTCTGTGAAGATTGCGTAAAAAAGAACGACACACATCGTATCGACACACATCGTATCGAATTATCGAAAAAGGAATATATATATATATATACAAAATGTTTCTAATTATATTCTGTAATATCTCTCTTAAAAGAGTATTTATTTTTCTTTAACTTTATCTTAATACTGCATTATCTTTATATGCTGCTCTTAGACAAACCTTGTTCAAAATTGAATTTTTATTATTTACCTTGCCTCTGGTCCAACAACATCGATGATCAATCATCGCCTGACAGGCCGAATTCTGCGGTTGCGTGCGATACTTCCAATCAACTTTGCTTTTATGCAAGTACAATGAAAGTATTGGTACGTCGGTTATTTCGGTTTCATGACCTCCAGCCTCTAGTAACAGCACATTCCATTCAGGATTCTCAGTCAATCTGTTGACGAGAACACTTCCGGCCGAACCCCCGCCGATAACAATAAAATCATATTCTTTCCGTAACTCTTTTGTCACATGCGGATGATTCTCCGGATCCATGAGATCGTAATTAAAATACGCGAGCGCGGCAATTAACACTGGGATTATGGTAATCTTGCCGATGCCGACACCGAGAAGGACGGTGGCTGCTTTTATAGCAGCGCCAGCTGCAGTTGTGACACTCATTTTTTACCTCTCGTGATTGCGATTCTCATGCGATCTAGATTTTCTTTGAACAGCCAACTTCGTCAATCCCTTTTACTTCTTCTGCCGTCAGATTTTTTTCGATTGTATTTCATAGAACTTGTGTTTAATATATGAAATAAAATCTGTTTTTCTTATGGATATTTTTTACGTTACTTTATTGTACGCTTCATGCATCGCTTTATAGTAATCGTGACTTCAATTTTGTAGTTACAGTTTAGTCTATCTGTGAAAAAACGCAGAACCACGGATAAGGGAAGTTGCTTAATGATTTTTTAAAAATTACCATTGTATAATATATTGCCAAATTAAATTGCTGGAACGCTTCTCGTTGGTATTATGTACGAAAATCTAAAAACTTTAAATAAAAATTTGTTTTATTTATTCAGAATACTTAAGCATATTATATTATATAACAGTCTCTAATATATAATAATACTTAATTTTTGAAACTAACAAAAAAAATTCTGACCAAAAAAATGATTTTTTATGATTTTGTGTATTGTTTCTTTATCTCTTATAGCACGTATTTTATAATAAATATTATTTATTTATTTTTTCTTAAAAAAATATTTATTTCTGAATATCTAAAATTGTGCTATAAATCAAATTTATTCTCATTAACATAATAGCAAACGAAAGAAAAAAAATTCCGTTTACGAAATCGAAAAATTACTAATAGATGTAATTTTTAATTAAAACTTACATAAATATTTAAATAATGCATACTTTTTAAGTATGTGCGAGAGAGAAGAGTAAAGTGCTAATTAAATATGTTTACACTATTTTATGATATTAGACTTTATTTATTTATGTCCTTGACTTGTATTATTCTATTTTGAAATTGTCGGACAGATGATTTTTGCAATAAAGTGAAATTGAATCTAAAAATTGGGTCATGGATGCTCAGATACCCATTCATTACAAAACTAATAAGATTGCACTTAAAAAAAATTTTTTTTTCAAAGTAACAATTTTGTTTATATATATATATATATATATATATATATATATATATACATATATTTTTTTTTTTTACTTTATTTATTGTAATATAAATTGTTTAATAAAATCTATAATATTTTAGATATATATAATCTTGTTTAAAATGAACGCAATTGTGAAAATTTCATGTACATATATAGGCAATTGCTAAGCATATTTTACATTTTATATGTAACTTTTAAATTTTAATTTGGAATATTTATTCAAATACAATTATGTTCTAAGTAGGATAAAAATTAAAACAACTAAATTCAATTAAATTACTCTTACAATTATATTGAATCGAACTACACTACGTTAGTTGCGTAATCACATTTTATTTTTTGCCTATATATATATGATTACGCAACTAACGTAGTATAGTTCGATTCAATAATATATATATTGTTAATATAATATTATATATATATATAGTTGTAAAAACAAACTACAACAAAAGTGTCACTTTGTATTATGACGCTACTTGACGTCTCGTTAAAAAGACACTCACGCTAGAGTAAAATCAGGAGCACGTGGCGTCGGACACGATCGGACAGTTCGTCGTGGCAGAGAAAGCGAAAGACTGAAACCTCGAACATTACGTTGAACGTATAAACCATGCAATCCTACCACACCATCGTAAAACCTTTCTCGTATCCATATTTCATCATCGGGTCCAAATGATCTTTAACCTAGTAATGACTACCTAGTATTAACTCACCTAGTAATAAATCGATAGTTTGTTGCAGCTCGTACTACGAGTTATTATTATAATGTAGCATACATTTTGAACTTTTTTTTATTTTATTTCAACAACAGATTCATGTTTTAAAATCTTTATCTTGATGGTAAAATCCTTATCCTGATCCTGGATCCCGATCCACGAATCTTTCTGCAGATCTCTGCGGTCGATATCGCAAAGATCGATATCGATGTTTTATGATTGATATATAGATTGTGTATTGTACATGTATAGAGTTGCTCAAAATATAATACTTGAAAACATTATTTTAGTTCGTTTCGACGCTTCGTTTTTTATGGAGATAATGTACGCGAACTGATGCGTACATCGAGAAAAATCCACTTTCGCCGAATGATTTCGAAATCTCTTCATTATACTTTGCTTTTTTATTTTAGTTGTATAATATGTACTTTTTGCGTGTATACTTGTACGCGATACGTTTTAAAAATCTTACGAGAAAAGTGCGATACATAACAAAAATTGTTGTGCTAATATATAATAAGTAAACACAAAAAAGAAAAGATATTGCAAAATCACAATGTCTCAACTTTAATCATTATAAATTGCGTTGCGAAATGATAGAGTCGGATGTTTTTCTTATGGAAATTAATACAAATAGATTTCTTATCTTTTATATCCATAAGACACAGATACTTCTATAATCTAAGTTTATGTCTACTTTTCACTATTAATATACCGCATCTGTCATTATCTCTCATCTTTGTAGCGTGTTATATAATTAGAATTTTGACCCTTATAAAGCTGGCACCCCCACCATGAAAAATCGGGTTCAAATTTAGTGCAAAATTAAGTGCTAATTTGTTGCTAATTTGTTGCTCTAAGCGCGAATTTGTTGCTTTTATTCATTAGCAGGAAAATAATATTAAAGATGGGGGTGCTGACTTGCCATTAAGCTGGCACTCCCACCTCCGGAAAACACTTATAGCGAGTTGCAAATCAAAAAACAAATATACCAGAATTTGTTGCTAATTAATTGCTCAAAGATAGTATAAACAGATTTTTTAAATATTAAATTAAAAAAAACCAACATGACATATCGTGAACATAAAAGTAAAATCATAAAAAATAAGTAGCTAACAATAACAATCAGATTGTTATAAAATTGATCCTTGCATTAAAGAATCTCAAAATAAATCATTTCCAAATTTATTGTTCGCAATATAACTAAAAAAATCAACCCGAACTTGTGGCGGTGTTAGCTTGACGACAAGAGTAAAGTACATGAACGCAATTAGTTGCTCTTAATGTTTTGGTCTTAAAATGTTTCTCTAATTTGTTGCTCTCAAGATTTACAATATCGAATCTATTGCTCAACATTTGACTTAGAGAAATCGACCCGAACTTGTGGCGGTGCTAGCTTGACGACAAGAGTAAAGTACATGAACGCAATTAGTTGCTGTTAATATTTTGGTCTTAAAATGTTTCTCTAATTTGTTGCTCTCAAGATTTACAATATCGAATTTATTGCTCATTGATTAACTTAGAAAAATTAACCCGAACGAGTGTAGGGTATCGAAATTAAGTCAAACATTGAGCAATAAATTCGATATTATGACTCTTGAGAGCAACAAATTAGAGAAACATTTTAAGATCAAAACATTAAGAGCAACTAATTGCGTTCATGTACTTTACTCTTGTCGTCAAGCTAGCACCGCCACAAGTTCGGGTTGATTTTTTTAGTTAAATTGCGAACAATAAATTTGGAAATGGTTTATTTTGAGATTTTTTAATGCAAGGAACAATTTTATAACAATCTGATATTATTAGCTACTTATTTTTCATGATTTTACTTTTATGTTCACGATATGTCATGTTGGTTTTTTTTTTAATTTAATATTTTAAAAATCTGTTTGCACTATCTTTGAGCAATTAATTAGCAACAAATTCTGGTATATTTGTTTTTTATTTGCAACTCGCTATAAGTGTTTTTCGGAGGTGGGGATGCCAGCTTAATGGCAAGTTAGCACCCCCATCTTTAATATTAGTTTCCTGCTAATGGATAAAAACAACAAATTCGCGCTTAGAGCAACAAATTAGCACTTAATTTTGCACTAAATTTGAACCCGATTTTTCATGGTGGGGGTGCCAGCTTAATAGGGGTAGAATTTTGTTAGGATGATGATGAGTAATATTAGCATTCTAACAAAATTCTAATATTTATCAATGTAGGAATGACGTAATAATGAAAATAGCATATATTTTAATTCTTATTAGTACTATTACAAAACATAAACAATATGTATCGTACAATTGTGGTTAGACACATGCACACATAAAAACTTTACACTTTTTGTAATCGTCTTAAAACCTGTTGATATGCAACCTTTTATACTCTCGAGTATATATATTTCAGAGTCTTTGCTTTATTGCAACATATCGAAAATAAACTGCAACACAGAACTTAAAACTAAAAATAGAGATTAAAACAAATAAAAAATGAAACTTTCTTTAAAAAATATCAACATAGATTTAATAAAAATTAAACTATAATATATAAGTACAAGTGATAGAATCTATTTTTTTTTTTAAATATTTATTAATAAGAGTAG